ATATTTTGATATACATGAAAATTAAAATGTTATTTAATTCAAGAGTTATTATTGCTCTTTTGTATATAAATTCATTAAGAGAGATAAATCGAGAAATAAACCTACTTTTTTTATCAAAGCGATCTTAGTGTTTAAATATTTCAGAGAGTAAATTTATATATCCAATTCTGTAAATCGCCAAAATTTTTTTTAATCTTGAAATACAATCATGAACAGAACTGGAGTAGTTATACCCTTTTGATATTTAACGGTAAAACAATCAATTGATATTTAATGGTAAAACAATCAATTTTTTAACTGATGAAATCGTGGTCGATCCCATTCGATCTTTGCCGTTAGGGAATTATTTAACGCAGAAAAATGTGTCGATGTCAAAAAGATGTAAAGCATCATCGATCATCCTTAAGTCTACGGATTAAACCGCAGGCGTTTTCGCAATTTTGTTTATTGCGGCTGACCGCCAAAAATAAATTCCGTAGGCCGTCACCGCTGTTTCCCTTGTCGACTAACGAACAATAATCCTCCGTATTTTTTGGATCTGCAATAATTTATTGTCACGCTTTTGCATCGCCGTTCGATGCTATCTGTACCAATGATATTCTCAGCTCGCGTATATCTCGCAGTCGCACGGAGATGTGTGTGTGTGTGTGTGTGTGTGTGTGTGTGTGTGTGTGTGTGTGTGTGTATGTGTATGTGTGTGTGTGTGTGTCACTGCGGTATGTGACCCGCGTTAAATTTGGAAGGTGCACTCAGGACGTCGCCGTTCTGCCGACGAGTGGCACGCAAACCGATTGTTACGTCGTTGCACCTTTCGAATGTCACGCGAGAAAGGACGGCGAGACGGATAGGCGAAAAACTATGGCACGCGACATTTTAATGGATATAGTATTCTTAACCCGAAAAGGCTTTTAGAAAAATGATAGAATTTCAGATGAAAAAAGACAGTAGTATATGTAACTTCTATTAAATAATTTAGTTCGAGATACGAAAAATAAATATTTATGTACTTTGTCTACATTACGTAAATTGTTATTCTGTTGATTCTACTTTCCGTGATACTACATATTGTTATCTCGGTTAGGTATTCAGTTTGACAAATAAAGGAAATTCGAGTTTGTTAAAATTAATGGGAAACGAGCGACAGAGAGTAGAATCTGAAAGCGGTAGAGCACCTGAAATAGTTGCTAGTGTTACTAAAGATAGGATAAGAGAAGCGTTACACTTCGCGAACGCATCGTGTGTTATCCGACGCCATCTCAACGGAATATATATGATGTAATGTTCTCTTCATGTGACACGCTTCGAAATTCCGTCGTGAACTTTGAAGGTTCTACGGCGCGTTTGTGTATGTATGCACAACGTAGATACTTTGAAAGTGGCGAACCCGAAATGTTGGAGCAGAAATGTGATTTACGAGACGGAAGCGATTTATTGCTTTTCGTTGTGAGGTTGCATAATATCGTGTCAGCCAATTGGAAGATAGAAGTTACTTTCTCGGTTTCGGTATATGTATTTCGGCTCTCTCGCTGCGCGAAACATGAATTATTTTCCCTTAAGAAAACCCGAGGACATGGAACAGAAGACTATGTCGAATGAAACTGTAAGAGGCTTCTCGATTATGTGTCTCAGGATAAGTATACATGTGTATCTATCGTGATGGTTTTTAATGATTTCTACCTTGCACGGAAAGAATGATTTCGCTAATTATCTAAAAATTGAGCTAGATACAAATCTGAAAATAATTTTATTGAACAATTAAAATAATTATGTACACTGTTAAATTTATAATGCCAAGTTCCACCCAATCTGAGTTACTTTTAATCGTTTCTATAGGTCGCTATTGTTCTCTCCTAATATATCGTTCATTTGACTGAAACGATAGAGTTAAACAAATGTAAATAAATTCATGTTTGTAGTTAATTTCAAAGTAAACATCATTCACATTAACGTACGGATTTAGTAAATAATAAATTAAGTTTGAGCGAAATTTAATACATTTTCTTGAGTTAAACAATTTAACTAAAAAAACTAAGAAAATATATTAATTTCGCTCAAACTTATAGTAAATAATAATTTATTATTTACTAAATCCGTACATTTACTTTGAAATTAATTACAACAATTTATTTACATTTTAATACACATGGAGGTTAAAAATAAAGAAATGTTATTTAAATCAAGAGATCGAGTTATTATTCCTTTTTTGATATCTATACTGTTCAATCTAGAGTATCAAATTTAATTTAATTTAGTCTTTACTCCTATAATCCATTTAATATATCGCTATTTTATATTAAATTATATTAAGTAGAAGTAGTAACATAAATTTGACATTAGATTTAACGGATATCAAACAAGGAATAATGATAATTAAGTTAAATAACATTTTGTTATTTTTAACCTCCATATGTGTTAAAATGTAAATCAATCCATTTATAATTACACTATAGATATATTTAACAGTGTGACAGTGTAGGAAATGCGAGTATGAGAAATGCTGCAAGAAATTTTAACATTAGCAATCAACTTCAGCATTCTATATACTTTGACAGTCCAATAAAATTATTTTCTGAATCATTTAGCTATATTTTTTTAGGATTTAGTTGAATTATTCAACTGCATTTAGTTGAATTTTTTAATACTTCAGAAAAACGTTCTTTCCTTGTGCGCTTGAAAAAGAAAATAGAACAAGATATTTGTGCATAATCGATAGAGCAATGCTAAAAGATTAGTATAGTGCGTGACTAACACACGTGGTTTTTTTTGTAAATGTAATGCACGCAATAATGACAAAAAAATATAACGAGAAGTTAATGAATAATCGCGTTCCATTATTTAAACTATGGATGATTATATTAATCGCTGAAGAAGTGCAATTTCATGTTTCCGAGGAATAAACTTTTCCGCTTAGTTGTGAAATGCCATTATATAAATTCGTCCTCGATCTACTTTTATGATTTAATAACATCTTTCGTGATCTTAGAACGTCACTACATCTACACGATTTCGCTAGGTCCATTCTGGTTGCGATTCGCGTGAGAATGGACCTAACGACGCATCGATTCGCGATTAGTTTTCGAGAGGTACGCGTCGGCCCTCCGGGATTTTCACCGCGGTGTAGGTGGTGTCGTAATTTATAAAGTTTACGAACGTCTTGCTAGCCGAATTGAATTCTGTTGTCATGTGTTTTCTCCGATATTCGCAGCTATCCGGCCTTCATCGCAAACCCCCATTTATCGTGAACGAGGCACTTTGCAAAGACGGGAAAAGATTTTGCAAATCCAATCTCAATACGCCGAAGGCTCTCCTTTCTCTTCTTCTTTCTTTCCTTTCTCTCTCTCTCTCTCTCTCTCTCTCTCTCTCTCTCTCTCTTTCTCTCCCTTTCCATCGTATTTGTTTTTTTCTCTTTGCTGAGGTTTCCTTATTGTTCGCGTAGAGAGAATGCACACGTGCATAGGACACGTAGTGGGTGTGACCATAGTTTTGCGGAGTGGAAATGCATTAGGTAGATGGAATTCGTAATTGGAGCCGCCGCATGCACGTGCATTCACCTGCCATATTTATTTCTTTTCTTTTTTTCGTTTTTTTTTCCGCCTTTCCGCCTTCATTCTGGTTCTTCTCACTTCGCGGAACGCCCTTCATACGTTTACCTTAACGTTAGATAAAAGCGCAGCTTTATACATATTTTCGCGACGCTATTCTCGACCTGTTGGCTCCTCGCGCGAGTATTTTTGCACGCGTACATGTATGCGTAGAAACGCAGTCGGCACGATGGCACGATTTTTCTGCCTTTTGCGGTCGGACGATGTATGCAATCAATTCGCACGTGAATAGAATCGCGAAAAAGCGTAACATGCGTGCGGGCGTGGCGTTGACTGCCGATTGCCAACAATGAATCGCGATAAACCGATCGCTTATCAATTGGAGATCATTCACTGTTTCTCCTCGATATTACAGTAATTATCTACAATGTCGAACTTAATTGTCGGTTAACAATCTGAAGCGGTCGACAGTATTTCCACGGGTATATTATCCAAAGACATTGATTGTATTTAGTACCATTTACTGAATGCTCAGTAAGCCAGAAAGGAATTAATTTGTTTATTTATTATAATATTTGTAATATAGAT